CTGTAGCTCAAGTGGTAGAACGCTCGCCTTGAGCTGAAGAGCTGAGGGACAGCGCCCAGGCCCAGAGTTCAAGCCCCACGACCGACAAAAAAAAAAAAAGAGTTCATGAGCCCAGTACCGGTGGCTCATGCCTGTAATCCTAGCTACTAAGGAGGCTGAGATCTGAGGATCATAGTTCAAAGCCAACCTGGGCAGGAAAGGCCATGAGACTCTTATCTCCAATAAACCACTCAGAAAACCAGAAGTGGTGCTGTGGCTCAAGTGGTAGAGGACTAGCCTTGAGCTGAAGAGCTGAGGGACAATGCCCAGGCCCAGAGTTCAAGCCCCACAACCGACAAAAAAGTATCTGGGCTGGGAAGGTGGCTCAGTGGTAAAGCGCTTGCCTTGCATGCCTGAGGCCCTGGGTTCGATTCCTTAGCACCACATAAGCAAAAAGAAAAAAGCCAGAAGTGAAGCTGTGGCTCAAGTGGTAGAGTGCTAGCCTTGAGCTGAAGAGCTGAGGGACAGCGCCCAGGCCCAGAGTTCAGGCTCCATGACCGAACCCCCAAAAAAAAGTCTCATGGACTTTTCCTGCCCAGTCTGGCTTTGAACTGTGATTCTCAGATCTCAGCCTCCTGAGTAGCTCCAATGAACTACCAAAAAGCCAAAAGTAGAGATGTGGCCCAAGGGCTGGAGTATTAGCCTTGAGTGAAAAAGCCAAGCAAGAGTTTGAGGCCTAAGTTTAAGCCCCAGTATGGGCATAAAAACAAAACAAAAAATATGATCAGTGGTTGTCTTGTTCATGAAGCCTCCTGGTGTACAGCAAATTTTTACAACAGCCTAAATAGATTAAAAAAGCAACCCGCAAGCCAGGGGGTTCAAGCCCAGGGAAATGTCCCCAGTGCAGCCTAGCCAGTGGGATCCAGGGCTAGGATTTCCCATAATCCTCTCCTCAGCCCACTTCCTCTTACCCTCTTCTCTGAGTCCAAGAAGATCTTGGTATAGAAGAGCTGGTCACTGTCACTGTCCTGGCCATCCCATTCAGCCACCATTTTGCTGAGGTTAGGGGCATAACCAATGAAGCCTGGGGAGTGGAAACACAGCGACAGAACACTAAGCCTCTAAGCTGGGGCCTCCTCCCTCCCCCTTCCCCACGCCTTTCTTCACCCACAGATCCTGCTTCCTCTCAAGTCATGCTGGTCAAGGCCATCAGCTGATACAAAGCTGTACCCATTGTGTGCTAAGAACCATAGAGGTGGTACATAATGGATTAAACCAGGAGCCCCCTAGAGAACACATGGGTTGATAGGGTTCAGGCTTGAAGCACCCTGTAGACAATGTTCAGAGAAATGTAGCCCAGGCAGGTAGAGGCAAAACTCAAACCACAGTGTGTTCTGGGGAATTGCGCATTGGAAAATGGGCAAAGTCCACCCAGGCTCCCTGGCTAGCATATAAGCTGAGAGACAAAGAAAAGAAACAGGACACCTGATCCCTGAATATGACAAAGGCCAGAGGCAGGGCAGCCCATGTGGACAGTGCTAACTCTGGGCCAGTAAGACAGGTGGCTAGCAGGGCAGGGCCTTGCTCTGAAGGGGCAGACCCTGTGCGAAACCCTCCATCCCGTGGGAAACCAGAGTGCTCCGTGGGGACTGCATCATTTCAGAGCTTCCTTGGCTGCCAGACAGAGAACTGGAAGAGGCTGCGGACAAAGGCTGGCAGGGTAATAAGAATATAAGTACAGCCAGGCGCTGGTGGCTCACGCCTGTAATCCTAGCTACTCAGGAGGCTGAGATCTGAGGATCGCAGTTCAAAGCCAGCCCGGGCAGGAGAGACCGTGAGACTCC